CTGCTGAATTGCTCAGGGCAGCTCTCTTGCTCCTGCACTGGGAGATGGTGCACAGAGCGCTTCAGGCATGGGGGTGAACTCGGGGGCTCCAGGCCCAGGCTTGGCTCCTGTTCCCCCATGGCTAAGTGAAGAGCCGTGGGGGGGCTGGGTATGCATGTGGGGAGGGAGCTGTGGCCCTTAGCTGGGGGAGGGGGGCAGCCTTTGGAGGCCAGGCTGCCTTTCGCTTGGCGGCAGGAGAGATTCTGGAATGTACCGACAGTCTTGTTCCTCTGTCTCGCCCTTTGCCTCGACCCTGCTCCGTTTCTACCTGTGGCTCTGGGCATGCCGTGGGGAGTCTGAACGCCACACTGGCTGGAGTGGGAGGGAGGGTGTGACAGTAGGTGCCATCTAAGACCCCTGCTTTCTCCGTCACACCTGCAGGAAGCTCAGGTGACAGTCGAGTGCACCATCCCCCAGAAGTTTCACCGCTCTATCATGGGCCCCAAAGGTACCCTGCTCCGTTTCTACCTGTGGCTCTGGGCATGCCGTGGGGAGTCTGAACGCCACACTGGCTGGAGTGGGAGGGAGGGTGTGACAGTAGGTGCCATCTAAGACCCCTGCTTTCTCCGTCACACCTGCAGGAAGCTCAGGTGACAGTCGAGTGCACCATCCCCCAGAAGTTTCACCGCTCTATCATGGGCCCCAAAGGTTCCCGAATTCAGCAGATCACTCGTGACTATGGTGTGCAGATCAAATTCCCCGACAGGGAGGAGAACCCAGGTACGACGCTCGACTAGAACTGCCCTTCGGCTTGTTTCCTTGGGCTCCTTCCTTCAGGAGGAGGGGAGCCTGCATGGCAGAGCTGTGGGGTGCAGCAGCCCGCAGCCGAGGGGCTACAAACATTGGCTCTCGACCGTGTTAAACTCTCCTTGGAGGGTGAACTTCTCCGCGCATCTCCTCTCCTCACCCCTCAGCCCAGCCCCCCTGGCTGGAGAGGGCTGGCTGGGGGGGGCGCTCCAGCCCCTGGCAGGGCTCCCTGTGCCTGGCTGCCCTGCCTCAGGGGCACGTGTTGAAGGGCTGCTGTCTTTCCATGCTCAGCCCCTGCCGCGGAGCCAGCTGTGCAGGAGAACGGCGAGGAGAGTGGGGAAGGCAAAGACCCCAAGGAGGCGGACCCCACTTCCCCAAGGAAGTGCGACATCATCGTCATCTCCGGCCGCAGAGAGAAGTGTGAGGCTGCTAAGGAGGCGCTGCAGGTATGCGATGCTTCTGGGGCTTGTCGCCGCGTGGGCCCTGCGGAGGAGGCTCGCTCTCAATTCTCTGGGCTCCCCCAGTGTCAGGTGGGGCTTGCCTGGTGTGACGGTCCGGGCCGTATCTGGGCACAGCTGAGTGCTTCCGCTCAGGGCGAATTGCTCAAATCCGGGGCTCCTTACAGCCCCTGACTGGCGACCTCTCCACACAGGCCAAAAACCAGTCCCACAGAGCGCTTCAGCTGCCTGCCTGAAGCCTCCCGAGCAAAACCCCTCTGACACCCCAGCAATATCCGTGCCCCAGATGGCCCCGGGCCTCATACACAGGTGGGGGGTCCTAGCACCCAATCCCACCTACCCCGAACAAGTTCTGTCCGGTCCCAAGAACCCAGCCACAGATCCCTGGTCAATTTACCCTCTGGATCTTACCCACAAATCACGCTGGGCCAATCCTTGAGAATCTATATCTAAAGGTTTATTATTACAAGAAAGAAAAGCCTGAGAGTAAGGTTATTAAAGTACAGTACGTTACATGCACCGAATCTCCCAGTTCTCGATGCAGGCTCTAGCAGAGATGTTGCAGCTGCTGGTTAAAAGTCCTTATTGCACATCCTACGATCAGGATGGGTTCACAGGTCTTCCGGGCTCTTCAATCCCTGCAGTGCTGCCTCTGGGATGAAGTGCTGAGCTGAGAACAAAATGGCATCGACCACATGGCCTCTTTATACTCCTTCCTGGCCTCTTCTTGTATGCAGCAAGTCACCTGGTCAGAGGCCAATCTCTATATTTCCTGCTGGCTGCCCTCAGGTGACAAATCCCATTCTTAGGCTATGGACACACCCAATTGAGAGCCATTGTTCCACAGGGCTTTGCTACTCAGCCTGTCCATAGCCATGCTTAACCACATTCACAGAAATATTCAGCTTCCACACAGATTACAGATTCCTACCTACACACACAGACATTATACACTCACATAAATAGCGTACATAAGATCAACAAACAATAATCTCCCATTCAATACCCCACATGGCTCCCCCCACACCAATTTCTGGGGCCAACACCCCCACCTAGGGGTGCAGCAGCGATCTGGCTGCTTCCCTCCAATTCAGCAACGTGACACCTGGCATAGCTACAGGCTGTAGCTAGAGGAGGGGCCCCTCTGCTGCACTTTTGCCCTGGACCTCTCTAGCCTGGCGCCTTGCAGGGCGGCTGTGCACGGGCCTAGCCTAGTAGGTGCTGAAGGCTCCAAGCAGTGGTGGGAGCTTGTTGGGGAGAGGGCTGCTCTGCCCCTCCCCACGATGCAAGAGCAATCGTCCGTCTCAGCACCGGTCCCTTCAGGCCTGTTCCAGCCAGGGCAGTTCTGGCTAAGGCCCTGTCGCCTGCCGACTGAAGCGCTTGCTCAGTATTGACACGTCTCACGTGTATCCATTGCACTGTCCCTGGGGGCACTGTGGGACTGCTCCTGGCAGCCAGGAAGAGTTCGCGTAGGCTGCGTTGTCTGACTGCGTCCTGCGCGCGGCGCTGGAATAGCAGGGCACTTCCTTGGCAGGAATAAAATGTAAGTAGAGAGGCTTCCCAGTGAGGCTGGCTCAAGGTAGCCAGGCCGGAGTCTTTCCACCCTTTGAGTGACGTTCGCGGGCCTTGTCCGCCTTCGCTGTAGTTTTGAAGTGAGGCTGTGAAAAGTGGGCACCAGGGAGGTGCCGTTGTCCAATCTGAAAGTGTGTTCCCTCGTGCCCGCCGCATTCACGGCTGCTGTCCTAGGCTTGCTGCTTGACCGACCCATGAAGACTCCCTGGGCTCTTTCCTAACCAGTGACTTCATGATCTCTTGATCAGATCTATTGAATGGCAGTTTTTGGAAGTGCCAGATCTCCCTCCCTTTCAGGACAGGTGTGGCTAACCGAAAGCACGGCCCGGCTGCCATTCAGAGGCTTGGAGCCATTCGTTCCGCTGTGTGCGTGCGCGCAGGCTAAACTCGGTGCTCTTCCTCCCCTGTGCAGGCGCTGGTTCCTGTCACCACCGAGGTGGAAGTGCCCTTTGACCTTCATCGTTACATCATTGGCCAGAAAGGAAGTGGAATCCGCAAAATGATGGATGAGTTTGAGGTAAGCTGTTTGGTCTCCCTCCCTTCCCTGGATCCCAGAGATCCGGTGGTGGGCAAAGCTGCTTGGGGGAGTGCCAGGAAAAGGACCTGATCCCTGGCCCCAGCTGTCTCTAGTGTGCCACTGGCATGGCGCATCCTGGACAGCGTTGGCTTTGGCCACTAGGAAGCCGCAATAAGAGCATGAGCCTGGTAGTATTTGGTTCCTCCTCCCCCTCCCTGTGCCCCGGGAGTGAGAGGAACAGGCTCTGCTCCGAATGATTCCCAAAGGGTCACAGGAAAATGACTGTTTTGAAAGAGGACATAGAGGTGGAGGTTAATTAGATTAAAACACAACCTGGTTCTACGAGGCGTAGCTCGTCCCACACCGACCTGATGCGGGAGTTCTGAGACGAAGGAAATGCAGTCGCTGGAAGGACCCGCATGTAAGATGGTCTCAAAGATGTATTGGCATTGGGAAATGTTCAGAGCAGGGCAACAAAAATGAAGAGGGGTTTGGAATGGGTCCCATATGAAGAGAGATTAAAGAGACTGGGACTTCTCAGCTTAGAAAAGAGGAGACTGAGGGGGGATACGATAGAGGTCTAAAATCATGACTAGTGTGGTCCAAGTGAATAAGGAAAAGTTATTTATTTGTTCCCATAACATAAGAACTAGGGGCCACCAAATGAAATGAACAGGCAGCAGGTTTAAAACAAACCAAAGGAAGTTTTTCTTCACTCAGCGCACAGTCAACCTGTGGAACTCCTCGCCAGAGGATGTGGTGAAGACTGGGATTTTAAGATGTTTCAAAAAAGAGTCACGGAGGTTAGGTCCATCAATGGCTGCTAGCCAGGATGGGTAGGAATGGTGTCCCCAGCCTCTGTTCCTCTGGAGAGGGATCATACGAGGATTATCTGTTGTTCCTCCCTCTGGGGCATCTGGCATTGGCCACTGTCACAGACAGGACCCTGGGCTAGATGGACCGTTGGTCTGCCCCAGTGTGGCTGTTCTTGTGTCACTGTGGCATTCGATACAGTCCACACGGGAAATGATGACATTGGAGAACAGGAGGCTGGGTAAAGAGTTGATACGAGGAGTGAAAGGTGAACTAAGGCTGGGATTGGTCTTGGGCCACTTTCTTACTAGCCTTGGCGCAGAGCAGGAGCGCGCTCACACGTTTGCAAGTGACCCAAAGTTGGGAGGGATCGTCCCGTGAAAGGCCAGAATGCGTCTCACGATCGGGATGGGGCTTTGGGAATGACACTTCATAGCGCCAAGAGCAAGGCCATGCGCTTAGGGCCAGACGAGGATTTTTGCTGTGACCGGGGGACGTAGCGGTTGTAAGTGACAACGGAGGAGCGACCTGGGCGGATTGCTTGGTCGGAGAACGACCCTGAGCCATCCACAGAGGAAGGCTGCTGCATCCTAGGACTGTTGCGTGTGCTCTCCCCAGGAGAGATGGGAAGCTGTGAGCTGTGGGGATGCCGCGGGCAGGCCAGGTCTGCCCCGTCTGACATGGATTCAGAGTGGGGCCGTGCGGAGGAGGGCTCGCAGGGTGGCGAGAGCCATGGAGAAGACTGGAGGGGTTGGCTAGTTTCGTGTGCCAGGGAGGAGGTGATCGCTGGCTAGGAGCAGCGGAGGGGTCAATGCCAGGGAGGAAGAGGAGTTCCTTTATGCCCGTTTATTCTTGTGTCCAACTGGACACTTACTTTGGCCGTCGTCAAGCTTAGGCTCCAACTTGGGGGCGGTTCCCGCGAGGAGTGACGTTCTGGGCCAGTCTCTGGGGTGGGGGCAGCTGAACTGGCTTCAAGACTGGGCTCCGACTCTGGAGGGCTGGTGATGGGATTCCTACAGCGGCGTGGGCGGGCTCCGAGTTAGACACGCCCCTGATGTCTTCTGGCGGGTCTTGCCCGTGCGTGGGGTCCGGGCAGAGTTTCTTCTCCGCTCCAATGGGCAGCGTCCCAGGGAAGTGGGTTTGCCTCCCCTGCAGCACGGGCCGCTTGCAGGTTCAAACTAGCGTCCGTGGTGGATTGTGACTTGGAGCCTTTAAGCCGGGGTGTGACTCCACCCAGGGCTCTGGGTCTGAGCGCCAGGGGTGGGGTAGGTCCAGCTAAATCACCAGGGTCCCTTCTGGCCCCATAGTCCATGAGATGCGCTTGGGATCCACCTGGAGCAGATTTCTGCAGCCTCCTGGCTGGTTCCCGGGAAGCCGGTTACTGTCCGTGGTGGATTGTGACTTGGAGCCTTTAAGCCGGGGTGTGACTCCACCCAGGGCTCTGGGTCTGAGCGCCAGGGGTGGGGTAGGTCCAGCTAAATCACCAGGGTCCCTTCTGGCCCCATAGTCCATGAGATGCGCTTGGGATCCACCTGGAGCAGATTTCTGCAGCCTCCTGGCTGGTTCCCGGGAAGCCGGTTACTCCACAGCGGCATTGCAACCTCGGCCGGCGGGGCGGCGCGGCCTGGGGACTGGCTGCAGGGTGGGTCTCTTGGCCCCGAGTGACCGAGGCGTGTCGTTTAGGTGAACATCCAAGTCCCTGCCCCTGAGCTCCGGTCCGATGTCATCAGTATCACTGGGCTTGCTGCCAACCTGGACCGTGCCAAGGCCGGGCTGCTGGAGAGAGTGAAGGAGCTGCAGGCTGAGCAAGAAGATCGGGTAAGCCCATTGCCACAGCCTGCCCAGCCCTGGGTGTCTGGCTTCCTGTACAGGCATCAGGCGGCACCAGGGCAGAAGGTGCCCGTGTGAGCAGCGTGCTTGGCCTGGCAGCGGCGCGCTCGGGCGGGATCAGCCCTTCGGATCCCCCGCCGTTGCCATTGGCCGCCGAGCCTGGCCAGCTCCAGGCGAGACCATGATGTTGGCCGCGCTGGCAAGGAATTGGGAGCTTGTCCCATTGGGCTCTGCAGCGCCGTCGGGGCCAGAGACGGAACAGACACACCGAGACGTGTTTCCTTCCGCCTCACCTGGCAGCCCCAGCTGAGCTAGCTGCTCCCTGCGCGCTAAGCCCAGCAGCTGCTAACCATCTGGTAAAAGGCCAGGGCAGGCAGGCGCTCCGGAGCCCAGCTGGGCAGTGGGGCTGAGAAGGGCGATCGGGCTGCCCTGTCTTTACCCTCGCTCCCGTACGCAAACGGACCCAGGGGCACGGTAACTGGCTGGCCAGCGGCTTGTCCCAGCTCTCCCCTCTGACCTCAGAGCGATCTGCTGTGAATATGGGCAGCCTGACGCTATCGGGGGCGTTTTGCTGTTGATTTCCTGGGCTCCAGGATTTCACCCAGTTGTTCCAATCATTGCTCTGTGACGGGTGCTCCTGAGCCCAGTCCTGAGACCCCCTTGGCTCCGCTGCTCTGGGTGAAGGAGCATGGGCCAGTGGCAGGCCTGCTCCTCGGACTCTGCAGCCAGTCACGTGTTCACATGGAGGCACCCAGAGCAGCTGCTGGGGGGGCAGCCCGGGGCACGTCGCAGGGGAGCCAAAAATCCCCTAGAATGTGTCCCCGGGCAGCCGGAACACTCCAGAGAGGGAGCTGGAGGAAGGGATTTACTTGTCCGCTGCTCTAGCGCTCAGCTCCCCCTTCTCGTCAGGCCTTGCGAAGCTTCAAGCTGACCGTCACTGTGGATCCCAAATACCACCCGAAAATCATTGGCAGGAAGGGGGCCGTGATCACCCAGATCCGCACGGAGCATGAGGTCAACATCCAGTTTCCAGATAAGGATGACGAAAACCAGGTGAGCGTGGGGCAGAGCCGTGGCTCGGGGCTCTGAGTGGAGCACGCGTCGCACGGCTGTGCTGAGCCGTGCCCCACAGGCCCGTGTGACGCGGCTCTTTCCAGCCCAGTGTCTCCGGTCCGCCTTCCCGCCAGGGCTTGGCCCCAGCAGACCCACTCTAACTTCCTCCCCTCCCGCCTCCCAGTCCCAGGATCAGATCACCATCACTGGCTATGAGAGGAACACGGAGGCAGCCCGAGACGCCATCATGAAGATCGTGGGAGAGCTGGAGCAGATGGTGTCCGAGGACGTGACGCTGGACCATCGTGTCCACGCCCGCATCATTGGCGCCCGGGGCAAAGCCATCCGCAGAATCATGGATGAGTTCAAGGTGGGCCGGGGGGGGGATGTCAGCTCCCTTGCAGGGGCTGCTGCCCCATGGCTGGGCTGCCTTGGACCACGGCAGACCTGGTCCTTCCTGCCTCTGCGCAGACCCTGGATGCTGCTGTTTCAGGACATCTCCCTGCAGGCCTGACTGAGCCCACGAGTTGGGGGATGGAGACGAGGCCCCCGCCTGTCTTGTTCACAGGCCTTGCACCCTTCCTGTGCCTGCTCCATGGCTGCACGCAAGGCTGGGGTTGGCCCCGGCTCCT